TGAAGAGCTGACTCATTTGAAAAGATCCTGATGCTGGGAAAGATTGAGGGCAGGAGGAGAACGGGACAACAGAGGATGAGATGGTTGGATGGTATCACTGACTCAATGGACATGGGTTTGGGTGAACTCCAGGAGCTGGTGATGGACAGAGAGGCCTGGCGTGCTGCAATTCGTGGGTTGCAAAGAGTCGGACATGACTGAGCGACTGAACTGAACAATATTGCCTCTGTTTCATGTTTTTTTTTTTTTTATTTTTGGGGGGCTGTGAGGCGTATGGAATCTTAGCTCCCCAACTGAGAATTAAACCCATATCCCATGCATTGGAAGGGGAAGTCCTAATCATTGGACAACCAAGGATGAACCCCCCTTCCCCACCCATCTTTCAAACTGACAGTTCTAGGAAGCATTCTGTACACTTACCAGAGGTTCGTGTAGAATCGAGCCCTCACTGGCTATAGTAAATCATGTACCACGTAATGATTTTTTCCTCCATCCCTTTTTTACTCACCTCAGACTCTCTTACCCCCTGAGAAAATCATCCATATACACTCAAGTCTTTCTGGGCTCTGCTTTTGGGGAAGAAAAATTAAGATACTATTGACTTTGTTGAGCAAGCCATTGTTTTTACAGAAGGAAACACTTATTTTCCCAGGACATACATATTGTCTGCCATGATAGAATTTTCCCTTAGTAACTTCATTGTTGATTAAACATTTTGAGAATTTGACTAACATGTGAAGTAGGAAAGGGAACAAAAGAGGAGGAGACGCTTTAAATTTTGGAGGTCGGAATATAGAGCAGGAGGTAATGGTTAAGTTTATGTCTTGCTAATACTGATGATGATTGAGAGTCGGTGGGTTCTATGTTATATGCGAATTTGGGCTGCTTTCCAGAGGCCTCAGCTTTTGTTAGGAAAAAGGAAAAGTCATGATCATCCCCAGAACCCTAGTTTTCTTTTTCTTTTTGTAGTAAGGCTTCCTTTACTGAGATTTTTCAGCTAATTGAAATTATACCTGTGATCATGGAAGCTGGATCATTGCATGGGATTCTTCTTTATTTATAACATCTGGTATCAGAGAGATTTAGACAGAAACCTTCACTGAGTTTCAGTCTTGATCTTTATTGTCTTTTTGGGTGTGTTCATTGTGGTTTTTTTTTTCCCTAGCTTTTTTACAAACACGCATGACTTCTCTTACTGGAAGCTTTCTGATTCCTTCAAAAGCAATCTTGTCGTTGACACTGTTCGGGTAATGCTTTAATTTGGTAACTATAAACCATTAAGCATTTCAGTATTTAAACATTAAAGAAATTTAGGGAATTATGTGTAGAAAGCTATTACATTGCTAATATCTGTATTACATTTGCAATTTAACTATCACTACTAGACAGTAGTTTGCATTTTAATTGAAAAAGCAACACTTCACCTCATAGAATACAGTAGGGTTGTGTTATACAAGTAGTAAAGCTCACATGCAGTTTTCAGTAATGCTGATTTTATTAGTTTCTCGTGTTCTAATTGCAAGTGGTCACAAGGTGTTTTGAGACTGAGCTCTCAATTTTTATACTTTAGGACCATTTAGTCAGCTGGCCACAGTTTCAGATTTATTGCTACTTGTATGTTCCATCTTAATCCTCTTTGGGGGATATTTTTTTTTTTTAACCTTGACATCTCTTATTGTCATCTTTTTTGTATTTATGACATAGCCAACTGCACATATGTATATCCAGTTAAACATACGACCTTTTCCAGCATGTCCCATAAAATGATCTATACAGAATTCTTTGGTCAAAAATGTATAGGCCATTCTGTAACATCCATCCCACCATAGTAGACCTTACCAGTGCAAATTTTATTTTATTTTCTGTCCCTGCCATATTGTGTGTGATGTTTCTCATTTCGCTTAGCTGAACACACCTTGATACTCAAGAAACAAGTGCTTCTTGTTGGGAAATGGTAGGTAGGCATTCTTTGGCTGATTTTAAGTCCTACAGAGGTATATTTGTGTACTCTAGCCCTGCTGTTATACTATATGACATTTCGCATATCCTGCTTGATAGCCTCCCTGGATGAATCCGCGTAGAGAAACCAGCATCAGTGATATGTAGCCAGTAGACTCAGACTCCAAACTGAGCTCCCGAGTGTCAGAGGAAATCAGTCACCCCTCACCCTTCGCGTGTGCACTGCTGTCGTCTTGTGGCCTCATCTTCCTCTCTCTGTGTGGTGAGATCAACTTGAAAGTGAAGTGTGCGAGCAGCCCTTAGAAAACCTGACCCTTTATAGAAAGTTAACATGTGTCAGGGTAAACTGTTTTATACACCAAGAATGGTCCATGTGCATATTCACAGAGAAAGCAATCAGAACAAGGAGTGTACCTTTCCTGGCTCTACGTTCCTGCCTTTAATGTCAGTTTGGGAGTTACTGTCTCCAGGGTGTGATTAGAACTTGGAATGTCTTAGAGCTGCACAGCACGTGGCCAGAAGGGCAGTCAAGGTGAGCCACTTGCCGCCTGTAGGTGGTGTGGAAGAAGGCTAAAGAAAGTAGAAAATGTGGAGAGGTGGCTTTTATCTTTGTTGTGGTATCTTAGTTCTTTGATCAGGGATCAAACATGCACCCCCTGCTCTGGAAGCATGGAGTCAACCACTGGACTGGCAAGGAAGTCTCCATCTTTGATTTTTAATTCAGATTTCCCCAGTTGTATATATACTTACTTTGTATGTTTCTGTGTATTTAGTTTTATACAGTTGTATCACATGTAGTTTGTATATCCATTCCTGTTCGAGAACCCTCACAATGCCCTTTTATAACCACTCCTGTAGTCCTGCCCCCAGTTTCCCTAAACGCTGGCGACCAGTAATCCATCCTCTTTCTGAAATTCACATTCAGCTTTGATCCTAGTTCTAGTTCTTTTTAGATGCTCCTTATCATGTTGGTTTCCTGAAATCTGGCTTTGGAGGCTTCAGAATAATGTCAGAGTTTGCAAGAATTAGGAGACAGGAAGAAAAATCTTAAAAGTTTCTACCAAATAATTTCTGGCATGACTTCCTATTTATTTCGACTCCTAGACAGGCCTTGTTCTAATGCAGTTCTTGTCAAGATTGAACCATATGAAACTTTGACTTGGGTTTGGGGTTGTATATGTAATCTGTCAGGATATATCAGTAATCTGAAATTTTTTGGATGTTTATACTGCTTTTATCTCTATACTCCCTAAGGTTCAAAAAAAAAGCTGGCAAAAAACTTACAGCACTACAGTTATTTTTTGTTTGCTCTTCCCGGTGCATATTCTCCACGAACTGGCCACATCAGGTTTCCCCAAATAATGTACCTTACCCTTATATACTGTGGGGCTTCCCAGGTGGCGCAGTAGTAAAGAATCTACCTGCCACTGCAGGAGATGAAGGAGACACAAGTTCAATCCCTGGGTCGGGAAGATTCCCTAGAGGAGGACATGGCAACCAACTCCAGAATTCTTGCCTGGAGAATCCCATGGACGAAGGAGCCTGGCCAGCTACGGTCCACAGGTTGCAGAGAATCAGACACACACATGCCCTTATTTTCTGTAGAGACAGTGTCACTGCAGAGCAAGGGACAGGCATAGTTAGTGTTTAGGCAAAAGAGATTTTCACCTTTGGAAGAGAAGAGACATTAGTTTATGTAGGACTTTTGTCTTTTCTGGTGTATTCTAAGTAAAATCAATGATGAATATATTTTATGATGTGAATTTATTTATATATATAAATATATATTTATATATAATAGAAGAGAACAAGGAATTGTACAAGAAATCAGTAAAAATTATCATGTTACACACTTGGCTGTCAGAAAATAATGATTTGAAACTTTTTCCATGTTTGGGCTAACATTGTGATATGATGTACTCTTGTATCTAGTCTTTGGAAAACATTTCAGTATTGCAGTTTCAACTCAGTTACATTTCAAGAGCCTTACTGTTTTAGTAATACTGCTTTTGGTTATAGATTTAAGATGATATAATGATATGTTATATAATTTTTGTAGGGTAAATTCTGAATAAATCCATGAACACTCTGTTTTCTCCTTTTATAGTCATACATATCATGAGTTTTGCTGATTGTTTTATTCCATGTTTATAATCTAACAATTTAATACTATTTTTAGTAACAATGAAATTAAAGTAGGGCTTCTTGTTTCCCTTTGATGTGTTGATTTACTGTGCTTAGAATATTCATATGTGTCTACAGTTTGTAGTTTTATCAATTTGAAGGTGGTTGTTTTGGTTTTTGCATTTTTCAAGGCAAAGTTGAAATTTTTGAAGTTGTATCTTAAAATTCATGCTCTGCCTTACTTTTCATAGTCACCACACAGGCAATTTATATCAACTCTTAAAAGCTATGAAGTAAGTATATTCTTTCACAAATTGACAGTGCAATTGTTCTGATACAGAGAGTGACACCTCATGGTGTATTAACTGTGGAATGCACAGTATTTTTTTTTTTTAATCAGAGTTTAAATAAACAGATTTTTCTTTTCTTTCCTCATAGTGTTAAGCTTTGTTCAAAATGAAGCCCATAAATTTTCTCCATGCTGTAAGCTGGAGAATATGAATTAGAATTTGCTATTCTGGATTGTTATTAGAAGAAATCAAATGGTTTTCAAAAATAATCACTGGTGATCAAAATAGTTTTTGCCTTAATCACTTTATTAAATACTTAAAAATAATTATGTGGGCAATGATAAAAAGTTTGTATTTTTTCACTATAAATAAAAAGAAATATGTGAATTTAATTTACAGGGTTAGTGAATATAGTTTTATTTTTATTACTGAATTTCTAGAAACATTAATAAAGAAATCAAAATCCAGATTTTCCTTCTCAAAGCAAATGCTGAAAGTTCTCCTAAGGTTTCTGAGAAGGGATTTTTTTTTTTTAATTTTCCTAAAAAAGAAAGGGATATCTCTTGTGCGAACATTTTAAATTTATGGTCCTTTCTGAAATCCTGTTTTGTTTTGTTTTCAAATCAGATCTTGAAAATTTTAAAACCAAAATGAGAAGTACAGTGTCAGTGCGTGAAGGCCAGGGAGTCGTCCTGCTCTGCGGCCCCCCGCCACACTCTGGAGGTAACAAGTGCTATGTTTTTGCTTCTTATATTTATGAAATAAGTTTCAGGGCAAGACCCACAGCATATGTGCTCTTATTGCTTCCGTGAATTACCTTGAGAAACTTGATAATCCAAGCATTGTATTTTGCCAGCTGAGTTGGAATATAAGAAACTCAGTAAAACATTGTCTATCTAGAGAAGTTTACAAACATGATTTACTCATTCCAACAAGAAAGGTCTAAAGGCAGGCAAGATCAAGTTCATTTCAGTTACCTAATGGTGCTGAACAATGCTTCATCCTTACACTATTATCATTTGTTATTCAGTTTTAGACCATGACATAAATCGGTGTCTCTGGGGTTTTTTCCTCTCTTTCCCTCTCTCTTTCTTTCTGTCTCTCCCCCCTGCCTCACACACACACACTTATACATGATTATTGATATATGCTGTTGGCCCTCTTGATATATATATAATAAGTATTGAAAATGAAATATGTCTATATAGTCACATCATTTTTATTGAGGTGTTGAAATTGCAAATTTTATGCTACATTGGTATAAATTGAAATATTGCTGAAAATTCAGGAGCTTAATGAAATAGCTACAAGAGTGAAAATGATCTTCTGCACATATGAAAATAATTTAATAAGCCCTGCTCCCTGTTAAGAGCCTGGAGTGCTGGTTGGATTTTCCTCTCGGGCTCCTGACCAGAGGGGAGACTGAAGTCTTCTTCCCATGAGAGTAAAGCTTATTCAAATGAAAACATGCTACACTCCATTTGTTTCTTGACATCTGAGCCAGTCCTTATGGCCCGTTGGTGACTTGGCAGTTTAAATCACAAAACCTTCAGCCCAGTAAAAGACATTTCCCGTCTTCAGTATCTGATCATTTGAAATGTCTGAGTCAGCTGCACACTGCAAATTTGGGGCTTATCTGCCTTGCCTGCCCACGTGTTGGTGGGTATGAGTTTAAATCGGGCTCCCCAGTCTAATTCAGCAGTATGTATTCTGCTGACATCATGAAGTTCCATCAGATCTTTGACTTTGAAGGGAAGCATAGATTTTCTTGATTAGCAAGAAAAGCAACTGATCCCAAAGTGACTTGAAGAAAACAGGGAGTTTTACTGGCTCATGTGACTGGGTTGATCATGTGCTCTCTATAGAGCTGTGTGGCTAACGTGGAGATGTGCCACCCAGAACAACTCGCTGCCTCCCTGTGGGCAGTGGGGCCAGCCAGGGGGCTCCTGCTCTCAGCTCCTTCCCAGTCTCCTCGGCTGCAGGAGCCACTTGCCTATGGTCCCACCCTTCCAGGTGCTGCCTGCATCTGGTGTCTGAACAAGAGGAGGGTGTCTGTGGTCAGCCATTTCTGCCTGTTAACACTGGGCAGTCCTGGTGAGCAGTGCTCAATCCAGAGCTACCTGCCAGGATGACCATGACTTTTTTGGATGACCCCAATTTGACTTCTTTCTGATCTCAGATCCTGCTCCTGCCTCCTTGTATTCACAGGTTTTGATCATTAATCAAAATCTTGTATCCCAGACTCTAGTCTTTGCTCCCGAGAAGGCAATGGCAACCCACTCCAGTACTCTTGCCTAGAAAATCCCATGGACGGAGGAGCCTGGTAGGCTGCAGTCCATGGGGTCACTATGAGTCGGACACGATTGAGCGACTTCACTTTCACTTTTCACTTTCACACCTTGGAGAATAAAATGGCAGCCCATTCCAGTGTTCTTGCCTGGAGAATCCCAGGGACGGGGGAGCCTGGTGGGCTGCCGTCTATGGGGTCGCACAGAGTTGGACACGACTGAAGCGACTTAGCAGCAGCAGCAGCAGCAGCAGCAGTCTTTGCTCCCTGAGAACCCAAACTACTGGAACCACTAGCTTAGCCAGTTTCATAAGCAGTTTATCTTTCTTGGTATTTTTTGGCTCTGCTTCCCTCCGTGTTGATTCTTTTGTTTTGTAGACTCCCTGTGTAGCACAGGTGGCCCCTGGCAACTCCGGGCTCTCATGGAGAGCCTCTTGGACCAGACAGCCTGTTGCTCAGTGGCTCCTGATTTTAATTGGATCAGCCTTGCTTATGAGATTTTTCCCTCCAGCAAAGAGCTGAAATCAGCTCCATCTAATGACAAGCACTGGGATAAGAAAGACATAGTTTTCAAAGGAAAAGGGTTTCATTATGAGAAAAAAAAAAGAAAAACAAGGGAGAGGGATGTGTTAGATTCCCACTAACCACTAAAGCAGTGTTAGAATTACAGCTAGTAAGCAAGTATCAAAATTACTAAAATTTACGGTTTAAATCAACATAAAATAGTAGCTGGGCAGTCTTGTCTATGATGTATTTGGGAAATGTTGACCCAGTTTATGAGCCTGCCTAGATGATCTTCTTTAAGTGCTTTTATGATGCACTTGCTGATGACAGAGGAGGGGCTCTTTTAGTTGCACACAGTGAGAGTGTCTTAATAGGCTGTTGGATAAAACATTACACAAGATTAAACATTTCTATTGTCACGAAATTGGAGAACTGCCCACCAATCACAGCTCTCCTCATGTAATGACATACTGATTTCTCTCTGCCTTTGGTGACGTCATATAGTTCTCCTTTCATTTTTAAAGCTCACAGTCTGGGATGACCGTGGAAGTCTGTAAAATTGTTGACAAAGAAGGAAAGAAATCTGCCTGGATATGGTGCATTAGCTCTTAAGAACTCAGTGCATGCACGGGAGAGCAAACAATTCAACAAAAGCATACTTTCCTTCATGCTAGGTTATGCAGGAAAATGAAAGGGACCAGAGCAACAGATTTAGACACCGAAAACAGAATTGTCATTGATCTAGGTCTACCTAATGTTGTGCCTGCCAAGACACAATTTATATCCACAGCCCTGACCCCTTGGTTTGGGAGCATCTTGAAGACAGAGCCTATGTTCAAGTTTGTTCTGCACCCAAGTGCCCAGCACAGGCTGGTTTATAACAAGCAGTCAGTAAATAATAATTAACAAAGGAACATATTCATGAAATGAATAGAGGAATCTTTTTAGATTTGGCCAGTGATAAATACTCTTTGAGAATGCACTGCAAATCCTGTTTCTAGAGGTAGAAGCATTTAACAGCTGATATGCCCTGGGCACCGAGCAGACAGGTGCAGACATGGACAGACCACAGCAAACTCTGACCACAGCAACCCCATCCACCTTGCTTCATTTCCTGTGGACTGGGAGACTTCTAATTCAGGGCAGGATATGAGGCAGCATAGAGCAGCTGAAGCCATGACCTCAGGGTTTATCAGCACGTGTGATGTGGGGCACTGGCCGCCCCGCTGCGATCCATTTTGTCTTCTTCCCATAAAGCCCCATCGTCCCTCCAGGGCATGAGTTTCCCTTTTCTGTCTTCACCACTGTGTTATTTTTACTCACTTTGCCATGTTTCTTCCATTCTACTTGGTCTCTTCTCATTGGTGAGAAATGTTTAATGTCACTATTACTTTCTGATTACTGAAGATACCCTCATATTTTATTCATCTGTCATATGCTCTAATAGAGTCATAGCCTGACAGAGTAGACACAGGGGCAAAATAATAATAATAGTAATGACAGTAATAATAACAACAAATAATAGTACCCTCTATTTACTGAGTGCTACTTAGTTGCTAAGCAGTATGCTGGCTCTTGGTGGAAATAAATCATCTTCTAGGAGATTCTTTTGATTAGAATTATGAAGAGGAACTGGATAAGTGACAAGGGTGATAGATATGCAAGGGGAGAGCCTCAACAGGAGTCCCAAAGTGCGGAAGCTGCATATGTTCCTCCTACTTCCTTAATTAATTCATGTATGCAGACAATTTATAGGAAAGTAGCAGCAACCTGGGGCTGCTTTGCTGAAGAGCAGTCCCCATTTATTTGATGCCATAAGAAAGAAAAATTGTTTCACGGTGGGTGACAATTAGAAATGTTTCTTGGGAGTCCGCATAATTCCTAAGCAATGCAGGCTACTCTTATTTGACAGGAGTCTTATCTCTCACTCATTCTGTGACCTTTCTGCCACTTCCTATTCATCATCATCTCTGCAGAATAATCCAGCACTTCTTTAAGGTGAACAGGATTTGTATACTCTTGAAAATTAACTGGAAGATCAGGAATTGGCAAGCCAAAAATAAGGTACCAGCCAGGGATTATCTGTGGCTTAATTATTATTCTAGTTACCAGTAGTGTGAAAAGCTGGGAATTAGTATAATTACCAGTCAGTTACTGATTTCACTACAAGATCATTAGAAATTCAAATGCACACAAAAAATTATCCTAGTATAAATAAAGATACAACACTGGTTTATGAGTCCTTCATGATAAGTACTAATTAGACAGGAATTCATAGGTTAATCAAGTTATTGCATACACACATGTTAACAAAGACTTGATTTTTATCCAAAATGGCTGATGAGATTTATTCTGAGTAAATAATAGGCCTGAGTGTTTCCCAGTGTTCCATAAGCAAATGACTGTGGTGTCTGATTCAGTTTCCCATGTCTGTGTTCTGTGAATATTCTTCTTGCAATAACAGCCCTGGACACTGCCATCCACTTACAACAACACAGTGTCTGAGATGTGAAAAGGAGAGAGTAGAATGCCAAACAAGTAGTGGAGGTTGAAGTAACTTATCCTAAAAATTGCTTTGTAAATCCTGGTGTGACAGAGGTGAGAACTGTCAGCAACATAACCAGATGGCATGGGATTTACACCCTCTGTATCAACATCTTTTTATTTTTTTCCCCCCTTTACCAAGGACCAGAACACGAAAGCTAACTTAGATAGTTTAGATGGGGGAACATAAAGAAAAGTTTCTGATTAGGAATGTTCTGGAAAGATTTGTCCAGCTACTAGACTTTGTTTCAAGGGAATGAGGTATTACCAAGCATTTTCAATGTGATTTTGACCCCAAACAATAATTTCCCTAAATACCTTAATGTGTAATCTTAGCACTGTCTTATCTTGGGCACTCATTTTTCCTTGAACTATAGTCTAATGTTCA